ATTTCAATGTACTGATACGTTTTTATTCTAATCAGACTTCATTCACTGTCTTCAGTAATTCAGCAATGAATATGTGGATTTTATAGAATGTCAGTGAAAACATATCATTTGTTACTTCTTTGAAATCTTGTATGGTTACCTTATTGTGAAGTCTTCATTCTGGTCTCTACACAGATTGATTACTTAACTGTTACAAACTATAGGCTTGATTGATTTCGATATTAACATCGCGTTCATTGTATTTAGGGAGTTTTTGGTGAATCGAACGTGATCTTCAAACGTCAATTCCGTCTACTACTTTACAACGCTCACGAATATAGTAAACACGTGATTAAATGTTGCTCAGGAGCAAGCCTTCAACCGACTCACACTAGGCTGTCGTACCATTATTCGTATCTGAGGGTCAAACTTAACTGTAAATGTTTGAACAGAACCCCATGGCAGATAGTCTTTTCGTGTCTCACTATCCATTCTTGTCGTGTCAGATTTGAGAACCGGTTTGATTTTACGTTTGGGATTAATTTATTCTCAATTTCTTTACCGTTCGCCCCTGAAAGATGATTTTTCCCCAGTATACACCATAAATTAACATTCCAAAACTTAGTTTACTGAAAGCTTCACTGGATGTCCTATTAGGATAATCCATATTACTCCGGAATATTGGAAACAAACCCAATAATAGCCTGTCCTTAGTTCTATCCCGGCGTTATATATGACTTGGGAATGCAGCGAAATCTTGCTTCCCGTACAACATCCATGTCAGAATGGTGAAATTCATATGTTACATGACCTATATATGAAATCAAACCAAACATAGCCATGAAAGAACTGGTTGAAGGAATTCGTGAAATATAGTACTTACTAGATACAAGAAGTTTGAAGGTAGCATCCATCGGTAGTGATATTTTCCGGATTCTCAACTCATCTTTTGTCAAATGTGCATCAAACCATTAGATTAAAATCACTTTATACCTTTCTTTCTACGAACTAATTCTTTGTTCTTGTATTATATCTTTATTCGCAATCTTTCTCTTATATATTACTATCATTGAAGTAACTGCCTCTATGAATTTGATGTTCATCTTGTTGTGCTAATGAGGTGTGGCAATTTGCACAGATGCATATATGTGCCTGATCCTGCAGTGTAGCTGACTGACTGGTTGACCAAACTGCGAATATTTAAGGTAGCGATTTCGAATAATATACTTAGCTTTGTAATGATTATACAAGTTACTACATCATGTCCTATCTCTTGAAAAAAGTCTTGTTAGCCGACTAAAACTAATGGAACGGGACGAAAACTATCAAGGTACATGTGTTGCCGAGGGAACTTATTCCTAAAATGAACTTAGGGTGAACCAAATTGAAATAAACTAATGCAAAGTTGTAATTTTGTGTTGAATAACCTTGTTAATAATCTTATGTGATTCATAAGAAAGTATTTGAACAGTTTTCTTCGTTTCTTATTTCTTTTACTGTCAGTTTTTTTTCTTTTCCTTTCGTTGATTTTCCTGTTGGTTCTGGTATAAATTCCTTGCCGGTAGTGTATAAATACATTTCGTAAGGTGCTACATTGTCTGTGATATGGCTAGATTAATAGAATCAGAGAAATATGCGCACAGTCTCATGAAATTGCGTGGATTCAAGTTATCACTTATTAACATTATCAGAAATACTAGTGAACTAAAAATATTGAGAAAAACTTGACGTCCCATTAGTCGAGCAGATCAACTTAATGAGAAGTACAGACATGTTAAATATTAGTTAAATAATAATGTGGATACTTCTGATCTAATGTTATCGATTTCTATGTTACCTTTCTTCTACCTGTTAATTCTGGCCTTCGCGAGGATCGTATTCAGCAAGCCTTCTGTGTTGTAACACAATTTAACATAGTCTAAATCTCAAGCTATATACTTTTTCTCTATGTATTCGAACTTTCCCTTTATTAACTTCATTATTTGCTTGCTTTCTTGACTTTTTTTGGTGTAGTTCGTGAATTGTCGAAACTCAAAGACTTATGTTTCCCTTCCCAAAAAATGTCTTGAAAGGTTGATTCTGGATATGTAGCATGATGGTTTAAGTTCGAACAAATTTTCGTTGTTGGCGTAATAAACGCTCATATATTGTGTTAAATAAGACATATATTCTCTTCTATTTGAAAATATAATGTTTTATTTTTTTCTTTCAGACAGCAAATGGATTTCCTGGTGGAAATAGATGATGAGTTGGACTATGTTAGTTTATGGTATTTCTATTAATTTGGTTGATTTGGCTATTGATTTCAAACTTTGTTTATTGTGTATTATTATTATTATTTGAACACTTAAATATTGGTACAAAGGGCACCGAATACATATGCGCTACATAGATCACTTGATTTGTGTGTGGCTTGTGATACTTCCCGGGTGCCCAAACCAAAGAAGGTGGTTATTTTAGGGGGTCACACCCGGAGCCTTCGACCTGAAGGTTTGATCCTCAAGGTAGTGGAGCAACATCAGGAGGTGCAGTCTCATGGTAGCCGGTGACCAACAATTGGTTCATAATCCATTTGTTATTTCAGGATCCTGGAGTCAGCCCATGTGCATTATTGGTTTGGAATCAGGGTTTTCCAACTCCCCTAGATGGACTGTCGTTGTCTACCAACCCGGTTGGAGCGTCAAACATTTGCTTTTCGTCCTCTTGATTTCGTAAACAACAAGCAGTGTAGGAGTTCCTCGACATTGGCTGTATACGCGTGTTCATGTGAGAGCATTTCGAGAGAGAGCTAACTCTCCCCACCGTACCAGGGCATTCAGGAGCAATTGTATAATCCATCGTTGATATTTTATCAATATTATGAGGTTATTACCTACAGTTGTTTCTAATTAATGGCTTAATCCAATTATTTAGCTGCAAAGTACAACGCACGGAGTTTGTCTTTGTTCATCCTCCCTTTGCTCATCGTGTGGACACATCTTTATAAGTCTGACATTACTTACTTCTGTTACCCCTCGTAGAGAAGCATAAGCCACTCACCAGCATTCTCCATAGAACTCTTTTGTGGACAATCCTTCCCAGTTGTTTCCAGTTTCCACTCATTCTCTCGATGTCTGCTTCCAATTCCCGACGCAATGTGTTCCATGTTCTTCCTTGACTTCCTTGACTTTCTTTGCTCTTGTTTGACTTTTTAATTCCTGTCTTCCTATATTTCCCTACTTAAACCGTGTGCAGAGTTTCGATGGAGATCTACTCTTTGTGATGATGCTTCTTGCGTCTCAGAACCTCCTGTGACGTTGAAGTTAGTGCTTCTCTAATCCGTTTTCAATTGTCTTCTATAGTAGTTTCCTCTTATTGGAACCCATTGCTGAAACTTATTTTGAATTCGCCAATTTTATCAGTATTTTGAAGGAACACTATATTAAACCCTTGTAATGCTATTTGTCTAGTTGTCCAGTGCTTCTTTAGTTTCAATTTCATCTTGGCAACCATCAAGTGGTGATTTGAAGCTATGTCAGCTCCTCTCTTGGTTCTCACGTCTTCCGATGACTTTTTGAATTTCTTATTGATGCAAATATGATCAGCCTGATTCTCTGTGGTGTGGTTCGGTGATAAGGAAGTGGCTTTGTGTATGTGTTTGTGTGGGAATATTGTGCCGCCTATAACCGATTTGTTGAACTCACATAAATTTGCAAGTGTCTCACCACTTTCGTTTCTTTCTCCCAGTCCATATCGTCCTATGAAATCTTCGTATCCGGTGTTATCCATTTTGACTTTGGCGTTTAGGTCTCCAATCAGAGTGGTCAGGTCTTTTTCTGGGCACCTTGCTGTGATTTATTGCAGCCTCTCATAAAACTGATCTTTATCGTCGTCATTGCTATCATTGGTTGGTGCATAAAATTGGATAAAATTCAATGTAATCCCCTTTTGATGATTCTGGATGCATGAGACTCCCGTCACATAAGTGCTTTTCGTGTTTCTTTGGATAGCATCAGTGCAAATTCCTGCGTGCACGGTGCTAGCATTTTCTCGTTCATGACCAGGGTACAACAGCATATCTCCCTAACCTAACCTCTTCTGTCCAGCTTGGGTCTAATGGGTGTCACTTAATCTGATAACTACTAAGTTGTACCTTCTCATTTCCGTAGCTATCTGACTGGTCCTCTCGGTCTCCCACATTGTCCAATCATTCCAGGTATCCATATTAATTGTTCATTCAGGTTGTTAAAAGGAGTATCTGCCGAGTGACTTCCGAAGAATCTCGTCTTTCGCTATAAGCCGTTATAATTCTTTTAAATGAAGATCCTTCAACTTTCGGGACAAATGCCCTGGTACGGCCGAGAGTGAGGAGGGTCCGCTCTCCTCGAAATGCTCTCACATGGCCACGCGTATATAGCCTCTGCCAGGGAAGTCCTACTCAATGCCTTCTCGTGGCGGGGTTGTTGTTTATGAATTTTAAAAGACCAAAAGCGAATGTTCGGCGCTTTAACCGGGTTGGTAG